CCAGCCGCTCCTAACTAAAGGCGCACCTCTCTATGACGTCACAGAAAGGCGTGGAGCCAATGCCAGAAGATTCAAAACAATCGGAAACACCACTAATCCTGCTTGAATTGTACATTAAAATGCCACTATTCAGCTATTTCGTTACTTAAACAGTTTTGTAAAATTGTTGAAATACTACATTCTGAACTTTTCATTTGAAGTTAGAGTTCTAGACAGTCAAATATCCCTCTTTTATACATACGTACAATATAACCTGACAATGGTGTCATTGGGTAATCGGGTTTGACACAGTTGGGTGGATAAGACGGAAAAAAGTAAATTCCATCCCATTTAGAGAGAAGTATATGTCTATATACTAACTGGGTCGATTTTGTTTATAATATCCACACCTCATTGACGTCAAAAGCTACTGTATTATGTAGACATACTATAAATAGCTCCAGTAGATATTAGAATGCGTCATACACACCTAAATAGTATATTTCGTCACAAAGATAAACCCATAGTGCGGCACAACGGGATATTAAAAACCAACAAACACTATATAGAAGCTTCTCCGATATCTAAAACGGTTTCGAATTATGACATATGATATTGCAAGAAACTAACAACAGTATTAACATAAAATGTTGTCTGCTTGAAATAATATCGCTGCCGACAGATGCGCTGAACGACACGAACAATTTAGAACAAATGTTCTTACTGAATTAGCTTCTAATGACGATGAATGTATTTACAAATCAAACAGCTTTTCTCTAGTTGTTTCCTTGCTGAACTTCAAATGTATATAATTTAATTTAAATATTTATTATAGTAAAAAGTAAGCTTAAATAACGACTACTACTCTTAGTGATGGGAATATCATTTTCATCTCTGTTTATTTTTCATTTCTAACTCCAATTTGCAAAGATTTTCAAAATACTGTACTGCTAAATTTTGTAGATAATTTTTTTTAATGCAATCAATAAATATTAAGATGATCATTTTAATAATATCTTTTATTTCCCTTTGAATTTAAAGTAACCCGTTATCCATGGTTCGGACGTTCATCCTGAGTTCTTATATATATAATCACTCATAATGCGGAAAATCCAATGTCTGACAAGGTCTCGAATTCTGACATCATATATAGCTTGAAAATAACAACAGTGTGTTATGACAGTGACGCCATTGGATTATCAGTTTGACAAGATTTGATAAACCAGATATAAATATGTAACTTTCAGTACTTTCAAAGCGATGAAGATTTCTTCAGTCCGCCTGAAGACGCCTACGAAGGCAGTAAAGCCTAGTTGTCGATCTTGGATAATTATTCTTTTATTATCCATGTAGATGTTGATGTCATTATATTTTTTTTCTTCTATGATCAACAGATATAAGTGAGCCATGGATCGGAAGTTCATTCTCCCTAAAGCTGCCGTCCTCGTCATGTTTCTGTCATGCGTAATGAGCTTTACGATACGAAAGCGGTCCTCCCAGAGCCCCTCGGAACTTACCAAAGCCCTCAAAGTATTGCAGCGTCAACGGCGACGAGTAGATATGAGCGAGTACCTTCGGAACAACCTCGATGCTATGCAAGACTCATTTGACCCGTACGAGGAGTATGGAGCATTAGATGGCAGGTACAGTCTTGAGGATCTCCTACCAGCCTATCAGCAATACCTCGAGGAGCTCGAACAGGACGGAGAGCAGGAAATGCCGAATGGAACACCCTCGATTGATGAATTAAAAAGCCTTTTTGGAACGTCAGGAAAGGAACATAATTCCGTACTAGAAGAAGCTATCAAAGTTAAAGATGATAGTCACTCCGCTAATAGAAAAATTACGAAATCACAAATGGAAAAATTATTAAATCAAGTGAAAGATGAGGAGACGCAAGAAACAGAGGAAACAATGAAATCTGAGACACCTTCTATAATTGAGGAGACTGGTAACAAAGATCCGTCAGAGGTCGCGCCTAAACCGGAAGTAGTAACTAAAGAGGAACTGAAGGACTTGTTTGGGGGAGATGAATCACCAGAAGCGACGAACGATACACCGTCGGATTCTGAAGATAGCCAGGAGGGGGTAAATAGTTCAACTGGTGAGGAAATGGTACCGCAGATTAACTCGTTCCCTGCCGAAAAGAAGAAGAAAGTAGCAAAGCGAGACAATGGAGAGACATTGAGATCGGAAGAAGCTGATTTGCATAACGAGATTGCTCTTCTTCATTTGATGGAAGGAATCGAAGATCAGGAAATCGACAACCTTGCCTCGGCTCTCAAGGAAGCTACTATGTCACAAATGGAGGGGACAGATTCTTATCTCAGACCTGAGTACAAAGACATAGAAAAGGCGATCAGGTAAGTGCGTTTGGTTGACAATAATTTACCTATCTCAGACAGGAGTACAAGAACAGAGAAGGCCATTAGGTAAGCGCGTTTGGGTGACAACCATTTACCTATCTTAGACTTGAGTACAAAGACTTACCATCTTGCATGTGCATTTTAATGACATCTATTTACCAACATATGATAATGTATCCATAACTGCTCTTGTGCTCATAATTTAAAGGGTTGGTACCCGTAAGGACAATACACATACATCGGTAATACAGTATGCGTAGACGATATATATTTCAAAGTTATCTCTTTCTTTCCCTAGAAGTCTATTTGTTATGTCACAGTATCAAATATATCCAATAGGAATCGCCTCAATATTAATTAATGTTAGACTTACATTGCATTGTAATTTACTCTTTGAAAACAGTAGATATTTGAGAACAAACATATCATTTTATATAAAATCGTTAGACATTACGCAAGTGGTAATCGGTAAGTCGGTTAATACAAGTATATTGAATAAATTGACTGTAAAGATAAACCCGCCAATCTAATCAACAAATAACTGTTAACGCTCCAGGAATGAATAACATACCGCACAGGGAAAACACAAACTCTAATATGTCCAACAATACAAAACATTTAGGACATTGAAAATATTGCTTTTACATATAACTTTTACCAGAAAATCCAAACAGGTAAAAATATTTGTTTTTCTAAATTAAGTATATAAATGCTAATAACGTAAAATAAATCATGGTTTGAACAATACTTTAAATCTGAAAAAATATTATTTACATGAATTTCACTGAAATCATCATGTGTATCTCCATGTAACACGTTGCTTTATTTATAATGATTGCATTTAAAGATATTATTATTTCCTTGTTTTCAGAAACGAGGAAATTCTTCAGGAACTTAAATCAAATCCATCAATTGCACTACAAATAGCTTCACTGGCGCAACTGGCAGAGGAAAATGGACTGGATCAAGAGGAGGAGGATGAAGAGGAAGATATCGACGACGATAGCAACGATGTAATTGATAAACGAACCGAAATTGAATCCAACGTTGACGACGAAAAACCTACATATGAAGATGGAATGGGAAGATGGTACGAACATCCACTGCCAACTGACGAGGACGAAATTGATGAAAAAGGTGCGTACATGAATGGTTTTCTGTAAGGTGATATTTAATAATCATTCATGAATCCAATATTGTCTTCTGCCTCGTGACTTCCAAAATATTAGTTTATCAGAGTCCTCACACTTTGATAAGGTAAGCATTTAATACTGTTTTGTAAATCAACTTGGAATTCCGATGAACCTATTTGCATGGAAATTCTAATATTAATTAATAGATTCCGTAAACTATTATATATCTGTTCGTCTTCATTCACCTTTAACTTCATTATTGTGTTCTTCAAGAACCGGAAGTAGAGGTTAAGTAGAAATTGTGAATTCGACCAGTTTTATTCATGGGCCAATCATGCTAAACATGTATTTGAATGTAACCTACTTGTTCTTTAGTAAAAATCTAAACTAGTTCTCCATATATTAGTGTGTAAAATATTTTGTCATTTGTATCAGTCAAGAACGACAGCTGACCATTCGGGGTTTTTATTTTTTATTTCTATTTTATTTCTTTTTGGGACAAAAACATACAAATATGTGACATGGTCAGTCCCTTCTATAATTTAGTGTTGATGGAGTCTGAAATACTCATCGATATCAATACAAAAGAAAATACAATTAGATTGGAACTGATACATATC